TCCCGTGGGCCTGTCCGGCTTGTCTCGGAGGAGTTCGGCAAGGGTCCGAGGCAGCACGCCTGGTCTTCGAGGCGTTCGGCACGTGGCCCGCGCCAGATTCTCTGGGGCGCTCTCGGCTGCAAAGAGGTCGTAGTGCAGCATCGCACTTGCCATATCTCGGACGTCCATTCCGTGTTTTTTTTCTCGTTTTCGTGTGTGCTTTTTCGCCAAATGATCAAGGATGCTCCTCGATGGTCCTCGCTGAATGAAAAAGGCACACGTCCGAGCGATGCCAGGGTAATGCAGCATCGCAATAATCCGTAGTGATCATCAGACGTGGCCACGTGGCAGCAAACCACCTGCCTCGACCACATCGGCGTGTTCCTCTGGACTTCGGGCCAAGCAGCTCCCTCTGCCGCGATGGCTACTTCGACGGGGCGTTCTTCGAGTTTTGAGGTCGCTCCTCCCTCCTCATCTAGCTGGGGCACGGGGACGAGAGCAGTGTAACGATATATGAGATGTGTGTGTATATATATATATTATATATATATATAAATATATATATATATATATATATATATATATATATAATCACATTATATAGAATACACGCGCGCGCTTCGCGCGCGCTTAGGTTCTAGCTAGGATCATTCTCGCTGGGAGTTTGACGTAGCTTCTCGGGAGCCTCTGAACCTGTCGGGGGCCTCCTGGAAGCAGGTTCGAAGCATTTTGGGGGCCGATTTAGGGCTTCTCGGGGCCTCCTTTGGGCCTCTTGGGGGTCTCCTGGGGCCTCTTGGGGGCCTCCTTGGGGCCTCCTGGCGGCCTCTTGGGGCGGAAGGCTCGAGCTTGCGGTTCGTGGTCCCCCTCTGGGCCCCCTCTTGGGCCCGTCTTGGGGCCCTCTTGGGCCATCTTGGGCGCCTCTTGGGCCGTCTTGGGGCCCTCTTGGGCTGTCCTGGGGCCCTCTTGGAAGCTTCTTGGGCCGTCTTGGGGCGGTCTTGGGCGCCTCTTGGGCCGTCCTGTAACGTCGGAAACCCAAAAGACAACTTTGTTGAAAATGTACGTTTTACGAAGGGAATGGGCCAATGTTTGCGTCTAGGGGCCCTCTTGGGACGCATGTTGGAGGCTTCTTGGGGCCTCTTGGGGGCGTCCTTGGACGTCTGGAGGCCATCTTCAGCATCTCGGAGCCCTCTTGGAGGCCTCTTGGAAGTTTCTTGGGCCGTCTTGGGCGCTTCTTGGGCCGTCTTGTCTGACCGGGGAGGCCTCCGGCAAGCCCCGACGAGCCTCCGGGCCCCCCGGGCGCACATTTGTGGTCGGGGTCCCGGCCCCGGGCCCCCGGACCCGGTGCGCCGATATATGTATATGTATATACACATGCATATATATATATATATATATAGATATATATATATATATATATATGCGGTTCCTCCTCCTGTTTGCACCTCCAGACGTGTTGGTGGGGCGGTCCTGGCGTTTCACCTGAGACATCTTCACCACTTATGATCCTGCAACTAGGTCCTTGCGAAAGATTCACGGATGGTGGGCGAACCTATGAAAAATGTGGATCTCGCCTTAACGCCGAGCACAAACGTTTTTGTCATTTGAAGTCGGTAGATAAATGTCACGGATAGAGGGCGGGCCTTTTTCATATTATGGCTCTCGCCTTAGATGCCGCGAACATTCGATATAACGTGCGCAACAACTTCACGAATCCAGGGCGGGACCTTTTGAACGTGAGGTTCGCACCTCGGCGCCGCGCACATTCGTTTCACAACCTTGCAGCATGCTCGAGGATGGATGGCATGTCGTGCACAAGATCAGGCTCTTGTCTGAACACCACGCGCAACATGTTCAACATTTTCACGGGGAGCGGGAGTCACATCCATCTCAACATGTGGCTCTCGCCAAAGCGCCACGCACACTCGCCATCACAGTTTGCAACAAAGCGCGGATGGAGGGCGGATCCGTTTCAAATTGTGGCTGTCGCCATGGCGCCACGCACCCTCGCTCAAACATTTGCCGAATTTCTCAAGGACGGAAGGCCAATGGTTTTATAAGTGTGGCTCTCGCCGAAGCGCCAGTCACATTCGTCTTCAGAGTTTGCAGCGACCTCAAAGATGCGTATGGTTGAAGTCCCAGGAATGGTGGCCTGGCACGACTTCGGACTGTCAAGGGACCTCAGTCACGTTAGCTCGCGGTGGTAAGTACCAGGAAAGATGTTCGGGCTCGGTTTTGTGCTGTCTGGACGTAACAGTACCGTTGATCCGTGGCGTTGTCCCAGGAACTGTGTTTCTGCACGGTGGATGATTCTCAGGACGTTTGTCCTCTGACTGGCCTTTTCTCCCATAGCGGAGGTGGATTCTTGCGGGGACCTCTGAAAACGGACCTTGCAGGGTTGATTACAACGTCGTTGGCACGTCTTGGGCCTACCCTAGTCCTCGTTTGACGTTGCGCGATCCAGGGGACTGAGCCTGAAGCGTGCGTGCTTGAAAGAACAGGGGGCCGACTTAGACCCGCAACAGAGGGCCAAGAATATCGTCAGCCAGGCCGTGGAGTAACAGGATACCGAATCGATACGAATAGTGCTGTGGATGTCATGACCATGGACACTCTGAAAACCCTATCATTGAATTACTCCGACGGAAGAACCCCACATAAGAATCCTCTGGGCGAATCTGGAAAAAGCCATCACCGTCGTCCTCGTGGTTGGTGAGGCGTCCTGGCTGTCTCTTCTGCGTATATTTCCTCTCGCCTTGGCGCGGGCCCCCCTTCCACTCCTTACGTTGTCCCCATCCTCGCCCCCCTGTTTGTTCCGCGCCCCGCCACCTCCTCCCCTTCCTGTTGCATGAGCGCGCATGTCGATGTTCCTCGGCGCCGTCGCCGCCACGGCCAGCACAGGCGCGTTCTCTACTGGTTACGTCGCGCAGCCGTTGGGACAACCCCGCGGGCCAGGCTGTCGGGACAACCCCGCGAGCCGTTGGCGCGCAAGACCAAGCCGTTGGGACAACCCCGCGGGCTTCGAGCGAGGCGCAGCCGCGCTCAGGCGGAAGGCAGCACGAAGCCCAGCTCTGCCGCGAGCTGCTTCGCCTCCGCCCTGGACAAAACCGCTCTCTTGTCGAACTCCAGGAGCGCCTTCCGCAGGGACGCCGGCGGCCCGCACTCCAGGAACTCTCGCGGCGGCGGCCGCAGGATCAGCATGTTCCGCATGCGCGTGGCGCGGGAGAACATGACGTAGAGGTGCAGCCACCACTGCTCGTCCGACATGCCCGTGCGGCCAGCGTCCTCGTCTCTCGCGCAGTCGATGGTGACGCCCTTGCGCAGCGTCTGGCCCTGCGACAGCGTGGAGGTCAGGTAGGACGCGTGCGTCAGGGTGAACCCCGAGCGGCGCACGCCGTGCGCCCCCGAGCTCTGCCATGTGAACTCCCTTTCGCTGGGCCTGGACATCAGCAAGCTCCGCGCCCGCGCCTCGATCTCCCGCCCGAGCCTTCCTCTGAATTCACTCACAGACGAGGCTCCCGCCTGAGACTTCCTCCAAATTCAGGCTTGAGGAGCCCAAAATTGACGACAGTTACAGGTTTCCGATGACCCGCTCGGATTACCAACATGATCTGCGGGCCCCATGAGGAGGGGGCTCCCGCCTGAGACTTCCTCCCAATTCACTCAGAGACGAGGCTCCCGCCTGAGACTTCCTCCGAATTCAAGCTTGAGGAGCCCAAAATTGACGACAATTACAGGTTTCCGATGACCCGCTCGGATTACCAACATGATCTGCGGGCCCCATAGAAAGGGGGCTCCCGCCTGAGACTTCCTCCCAATTCACTCAGAGACGAGGCTCCCGCCTGAGACTTCCTCCAAATTCAGGCTTGAGGAGCCCAAAGTGACGACAATTACAGGTTTCCGATGACCCGCTCGGATTACCAACGTGATCTGCGGGCCCCATAGGGAGGGGGCTCCCGCCTGAGACTTCCTCCCAATTCACTCACAGACGACTGAGACTTCCTCCCGCCTGAGACTTCCTCCAAATTCAGGCTTGAGGAGCCCAAAAGTGACGACAGTTACAGGTTTCCGATGACCCGCTCGGATTACCAACATGATCTGCGGGCCCCATAGGGAGGGAGCTCCCGCCTGAGACTTCCTCCCAACTCACTCACAGACGAGGCTCCCGCCTGAGACTTCCTCCATTTTCAGGCTTGACGAGCCCAAAAGTGACGACAGTTACAGGTTTCCGATGACCCGCTCGGATTACCAACATGATCTGCGGGCCCCATAGGGAGGGGGCTCCCGCCTGAGACTTCCTCACAATTTACTCAACGATGACGAGGATGAGGATGATGAGTGGTGGTGAAGATGAGTGGTGAAGAGGATGATGATTGATTGTGAGTGGTGGTGGCGATGATGATGTTTGAATGAGGATGATGCCGATGCCGATGCTGATGATGATGATGATGTTCGTGAGCGTGTGAGAGAGTGCGAGTGATGATGATGATGAGTATGTGAGTGACTAAGCATGTGAGAGAGCATTATCGATGATGCTGATGAGGTTGATGATGAGAGAGTGTGAGTGAGTGTGAGTGGGTGTGTGTGTGTTCCTGTCCTGTTCCTGCGCGGGGTGTCCAGAGAATACAAGAACCCCACTTTGGATGTGGGGAATTAAGAATGTGTTTAACATGTGTAAAGCATGTTCTAAACCTGTGTCAAACATGCATTTACATGTTTAAGGCATGTCTGAAGCATGTTGTAGACATCTGGAAATTATGTGGCAGCATGCTTACCCGCGTCCTTCCTTCCGCCTCGCTTCCCCTCTGTCTCCGCCCTGCTCCTCCTCCTCCTTCTTCTTTCCTCCCCTTCCTCCCCCTTCTCCTCCCCTCCTCCGCGCGCTCACACGACTGATCACAGAAGGGGCCCATGCGCAAGCCACCAACTTGGGAGAGCAATCGTCAAATCTGGTCTATGGGCGCCCGCTCCGAAGGCGAACACTGGCTCAAAATATTGTTACTATCAAGCGAAACTTCTCAACTGCCCACTCGAAGCTCCCTGAGGAGGCTGAACCTACGAAGCGGACGTCGAAATCTGCAGAACATGATGTGGCCCACTCTCGGCCAGCGCCGCACTGACCCCGCCCCAAGTCAGAACGTATGAGCATTCCAATGCTTGCGAGCCCCCGAAGGTCGCAGGAGGAACCTTGTGCCTTGTGTGTGAGGCCATGCTGAGGGTATGTTGGGGCCACCTGCGCTGTACTTGGTTGCAGGTCTCTGGGAGTCATCTCGTTACATCTTGAAGCTCTCTTGGGACTCTGTTTGAGTCGTCTTGTGGTCATCGTGGGGGCTTGTGGAGCATTGCTTGATTGCTGAATCGTCTTTGGAATATGATGGGATCCTCTCCGGGTCTCTCGGGGCCTTCTTGCCTTCTTGAGGATCCGTCCCTAGGTGCCTGGGAACGTTCCCAAGTGTCTCCTCAAAAGGAGGCCAGTGTGACACTATCCCCAGGGACCGAAATTTCAAACACATATGAGTAAATCCCTGCTCCCCTCGCCCTGCAAGAGCCTCCAGCTGGGGCCCTCTGGGTCCATCTGGAGAGCATCTTCTGGAGGCCTGCGGAGATGAGCGTTGGGCCATGTGAAACCGAGAATGCGTGAGTTTTGCCAGCGTGGACCCCAAACCATAGTTTCTTGCACTCTAGATGCGCGTTGTGCGTGCTGGGGCCTATGTGGTGATGATGGAGTCTAGCGTTAAGCGTGGAAGAAGGACCGCGGTGCTCAAATGAAAGAAAGCTGTGGGTTTGGAAGCCATCGCGATCGTCGCCGAGGGGGCGATTTTCTTGCTCTGGTTAGGGCGAGGGGCTCACAGTTACATACAATCAGGCATTACTGTCACCATCTCTTTCCCTGCTGCATTCCCCCCTGCCTGCACAGTAAACGGAGGCCTATGAAGCAACAAGGCAAGACAGAGAAGCCACAAACAACTAAGGGAACACAGCATACCAACCAGAGTGTACAAACCTTAGGGCACCTATGCAACAACAGTAAGCCGCAACTCAGAGGCTCCCACTCGTACAGGACCACCCACAAAACACCAAGGCAATAGCGGAACTTGGAAGTTATCTATCCGATCAACTCCAAACCAAGATAAAACCCCTTTGTTCGAGCACTGTCTGCAGAAACATCGACGCGCACCCACACATACTATTCTCGGGGGTTCTGCGCACAGCCGTGCAAGAAGCATCAGTTGCTAACGTGCACAAAGACATGGGAGCAACCTAACCTGCAGCGTACTTCCCGAAAAGGACAGGGGTGTTGTAGGCTGGACGGCTTCTGAGCAGCCTTGTCTTATCAGAAGGTCGCCTATCTCGGTGGCGACGAAAACAGTACCTGTCGCGATCGGTGCATTCTGAAGCACCACTTCTACAGTGCGGGCGCGGTCGCAAGAAACCCTCGCAAGAAACCCAACCCTGGAAACCCGCGCGCGAGGTGCACCTGAGGGAAAAACCCGAGCATCCTGAACGAATCAGCTCCTTTGACGGCCGCAGGAAGTCATCGCGCAGCGCGCGGAACGAAGCAACCCAGGGTACCCTGACGAAACTCAGACGGTTTCTTGATGCGCGCCCCCATTGTACTCACACCAATCGGATGGGGCCATTCTGCTCACACCTTGTCGTTCTGCAGGGGCCCCCCATAGTGCCCCCGAGCTGCCCGGGACCCTGCCGGGCATGGGAGCGGCTCCGGCGCCCGAGCCGAAGGCCTGAGCTGCCCAGCGTCTCGCCACCTGTGCGGCGGCAGTGGCGTCTTCGTCCTCCTTTCGGGGGCCACGTGCGAACCCTGCCCCTGCCCCCCATGACTTCTGAGGGGAAGGGTGGGGTTCGCCTCGCTCGGGAGCTCCGAGCGAAGTGAACCCCACCCTCCCCCTCAGAAATCGTGGGGGGTAGGGGTAATGCGGGATGACGATTACTAAAAAAAATGGGAGAGAACGATTAAAACATAGTTTCATGCTATTTCTGCAGCCAGTTTCTGACTGGAGGAGAACGATTGAAAAGAATAGTTGTCCAGCCCGTGGCCGGCTTTTTCTAATCGTCATCCAGGGCGCCCCGCCGCGTGAACACGACCCCCGGTCATTTATTAATCGTCATCCTCCATTAGGGTTCGCACGTGTGGGCTATACGCAAGAGTGACCCTGGGTAAGAGGGACCTTTGGTGCGCGACTTTTCGGGGGCCGCGGGGGGACCAAACCTGGGCGCGCAGGCAGCTGCTACTGCTTCGCTTTCAGCCATCTGTGGACCCGTCTGTGCCCGCACCAAAGGTCACTCCGGCGAAAGGTCACTCTTACGTCTAGTCGAACGTGGCCCCCTGCTCCTCCCCACGCCCCCCCGGCTAGGCGGGCGCTGCCGCGGCCGCGGAGTCGGCGCCCCCGCAGGCACCGGGCATCGGGAGGGACGCCGAGCTCGGCGTGCGGGCCGCGGCCTGGTGGCTCGCCGACCCCTGCATGTGGGCGGCCCGCACCTCTGAAGGGGCCCCGGGACACAAAGAAATGCACACAAATGAACAGGTTCCCCATATCTTCCCGTACTTTCTGGGTTTATGTCTCCCCCCCCACTTCCCATATTTTCCCATATTTTCTGGGGAATCGCCGAGTAATTGTGTCTGTGTGTTTCTTCCCCTCCTGAACCTCGCAGCGCTTGACCGAGGTGGTGCCGGCGAACTGGTAGCCCGTGAAGCTCTTGATGAACCTCTGCGCCTCCAGAGGGCAGGGGAAGTCGATGAAGCCGTAGCCCAGGTTGGAGCGCCGCACCGACTGCCCAGACTTGGACGGCCGGCCCTTCACCGGCAGGTAGAGGAAGTCGTACTTGCCTGCGTATCCCATCGAGTCGACGGCCTCTGAGAGCTGCTGCTGCGAGATACTGCAGGGGACGTTGCAGATCATTAGAGTCGTTATGGGTCTCGACTGGACGCTGTACGGCGGCACCATGTCTGTGTCCTGCCCCTCATGCGTCCCCGAGGAGGAAAGGCGTGCTGACGTCTCTAGCTCCGTCTGCCGGTCGGCATCATTGAAGTCCTTGGAATTCAGAGCGCACCGCCACCAATCGCCGAACTCGCTTCCCTCACCTTTCCTGCCCGGAATGACCGCGCCAGCCGCGGTGAGGTCGGCCTCCGTTCCCGCGGTCCATCTTGGCTCAGCCCACTGGCTTGGAGGGCCAACCAGCCCACCAAAAGGCGGCGCCTGCGACGCGTGGCCCAGGGGGGCCGAGAACCCGGCCAGGTGGGTGGCCAGCGGAGGGCCCCATCGACTGGTGCCTTCGTCGCCCGCACGGCCCGACGCCGAGGGCTGGCCCAACCACGGGGGCGTCTGGCTCCCGACACCTGGGTCCAGCATGGTGGGCGTGATGTTCTGCTTTGCCCGCCGCACCTCGCAGACCTTCAGGGACGAGGTGCCCGGGAATATGTAGCCAGTGAAGCGCTTCACGAACTCCTTTGCGTTGCGAGAGTCCGAGAAGCTGATGAAGCCGTAGCCGGGGTTCGACGTGCGGCCTGCGGACTCTACCTTGCGGAAGCGCCTCTTCTCTGGTAGATAAACGTAGTCGTACTGGCCGGCAAAACCCATGACGTCAACGGCCACCTTCAACTGCGCGTGTGTGACGCTGCATGGGATGTTGCATATCATGAGCGCGTGGTTGTCGGCGCCCGAGCCCGCCGCGGGTTGCTGATCCAGCATGCTGTCCTTCATCACCTGGTCCAAGCCGAATGGGATCTTCATGGGCTCACTCATGAGGTCTGGACCCCCGGCGTCCACGTCTGACCCCTCGACGTCATTCGCGAAGAGGGCGGCGGGCGGGAAGGTGCCCTGCTCGAGAACGACCATCTCGTTTCCCATCTTGGTGGCGCCGCTGCTTGCCGCAGCACCGCCAAAAAGAGGGCCGTGGCCCGCCGGCAGCTGCCCCCCGCCGGTGAGCTCGAGGCCGAAGCCCCCCTGCGCCGCATCAAGCGGCGGGCCGCTGTGCCCATACTGTCGGAACCCGTCATTCTGGACAGCCGGCGGGTCCTGCGGCAGCGGTGTCACGCCACAGATCGCCGGGTGCGAGCGCTGGGCGACCGCGCCGCCGACGTACTTCGAGGACGAGTCTGCCGACTGCTCGCTCCCGTAGAGCGCCGACGAGGAGCCCCCGCGGCCGCCGATGCACCTGAGGAACTTGTCGAACTTGCTAGCATGTCCCGGCTTCATGCCCACGTCGTTGACGAGGCCACGCATCTCCTCAAGTTGAGGGATGAAAAAACGACCCCACCCTGGGTTACAAGTGCGTGGTCTGTAAACCTCATGGGAACCCCCAAAGCCTAGAGCCGCCAGGACGCGGCACATCACGCAGGGTTTAACCTGTCAGCCCACAGGAGTTTCAGCGCACAGCGCCTCGTAAACCAGGGTAGGGGCGTTTTTTTATGCCCTTGATCAAGTCAGGAGGGGAAAAAACACACAGACACAATTAATCGTCGATCCCCCAGAAATATGGTAAAAAATGGGAAGTGGGGGGAAGACAGAAACCCAGAAAATATGAGAAAAAGAAAAGGAATCTGGTTATTTGTATATATACTTGTGTGTCCCAATTTCCCTTCATCAAGATCCGTACACATTTTGCCACTGGACCCCTCGTGGGCCCATCCTGGCCGGCTTCTCTCACCCTGGATCGCATCTGGACGGGCCTGGGGCCTGGAACAAGCCTCCGGAGGCACAGAGTGACGACGAGCCCCTCGGAGGGGAGGAGCAGGAGGAGGAGGAGGAGGAGGAGGAGGAGGAGGAGGAGGAGGAGGAGGGGCAGGAGGGGAGGAGGAGGAGGAAGATCCTCGTCGTCCAGCGTCTGCATGTACTCCAGGTCGTCCCAGCCCAGCTCCTCGAAGGCCCGGGCGTACCGCTCCAGGCGCAGCGAGGTGAGCGCCTGCATGACGGCGTCCATGGCGGGAGGCGGCCCGCTGGCCGTGGCGGCCAGGCCCAAGGGGCGGGGACGACGGCCCACGACGACGCACCCGCCCCCGACGGCGGCACCCGCGGGCATCCCTGGCAGACGGGGGGGGCAGGGCGGGGGTGGCCTTCGAGGCTGGCGCTCGAGCGTGGGCCGCTTCGCTTCCCAAGCTCCCTGTCATCGCGCCTGGCGACGTGCGGCGCGCGGCCATCTTCGCACCCGGCGATGCCACCCTGGAGAAGCGCAGCTCTCTGGCCGAGGCTGCGGCGCCCGAAGCGCGATGCTCTCTTCGCGCCCCTGGGAATCCTGGGAACCTCACCCCTGGCAGGGGCACCCGTTCGGCAAGCCTGACTCTCTCCCGCGCCGTGGTCGGGGACGCGAGCTTCTTCGGGGCTAGGACGAGAGAGGGAGCCAGCGGCCGGTGCTCCCCGCGCGCACGCCGGCCGCCGGCAAGCATAGTGTGCCAAGATGGCTGCGGGCTCTCCACGTCGTCCTCCCCCTCCCTCATCCCCCTCTCGTTCCTGACCCTCATCTTGTTTCTCCTCTTGTTGCTCTTCCTGTTCCTCCTCGACCACTCCCCTCGGGAAAAGGGGCCTAGCTCGGGACTTCAAACGTAGGAATGCCACTGCTGCCCAGAGCCATAAGAAGGTTGGAACCCAACCTTCAACCACAGGACTGGGACCAGGTAGCACCGGGGCGTGCAATCTCGCCATGGCCTCGCCTTGCTCTCCGCGCCCCTCCCTTCCGTTGTTTGCCCTCACCCCAACACCAAGATGGCTCCACCCTCCCCCTCGCTGGCGTACTCCTATCCCGAGGTCGCCGCATCCCTTTCACTGTGCGCATGCCCCCTGAAGGGTTACGTAGGTGACCTCCGCGTGAAACGGCAGACGAGCGCAGACCACATTTTCATGGAAGAGAGCTCGGAGGGTCACCAGGAAGCGGGGAGTAACGACAAGCGGGTGCCATTCGGCAGCGAGCCGATCGTTATCAGCTACAACGCTCGGGCCAAGGCACGCACTACAGACAGGCGGTGGCAGAAGGCAGCGGCAAACACGGACGGGTCACCTCGCCGAGCCAACAACATCGAGAAGGCGACCAGTGGTTGCCAGCAGAGGGACGAACCAGAGCCCAACGTCGTCAACTACAGCGCTTAGACCTCGGCATGTGAGCACATCATGCAGCGGCAGCAGGCAACACAGGGGCCAGCTCGTGACAGAACTCGACTGGTTAAGAAGAATCAGGCCCGCCCCACCAGGCACGGACACGGGTGGACTGCGAGACGGCGGTGCAATGGCGGCAAATGGCGTCATTAGCTACGTGCTCGGGCCACGGTATGCGAGAAAGGCAGGCAGTGGTAGCAAGCAAGCCGCTACAACGACGGTGCGAAGGAGCCGCGTTTTGGGCCGGAGGAGAGCCAGGCACGCCCCACGACCAGGGTGTATTGCGAGAGCGGAATGCAGTGGCGCCAAGCAGGGGAGGAAGGTGAGTCCACCGTCATCAGCTATAGTTCCAGGGCGACGGCTTGCGAGAAGTGCAGGCAATGGCAGCAAGGCGCGAAAGATCCATGTCCCAAGCTTCAGGGCAGGGATCAGATCGTGCGCAAAAGGCGCACCCTTCAAGGCAGGACGCGCACAACACAAGCGATTCGGACGGCCTGGGGTAGGGGAAGCTTTCAGCGCCGCCGTTATTCGAGCTTCGAGTCTGTGGAGGTTTGGTCTGCAGAATACTGTAGAGTCCTACGTATTCCTTCTCACCCTCCTCCTCCTCCTCCCTCCTCCCTGACGTTTCTATCGTTTCCCGCTAAACGCAGCATCTCCCCGCCTCCCCGCGCGCCAGGCGGGCGCGCCCCGCCTCCCTTGCTTCGACGGCGACGGCGGTGGGAAGAACCTCGGCCCCCAGGAGGAGAGGAAAGCAGAGGAAATCTGATAATCGAAACGGGGCCAGAAGGAACGGGGCCGAGGGAACATGCGGCGCCCCAGGATCCAAGCGGGTCTGCTGACCCCCGCTGTCGAGGCCCCTGGGGCGCCCTCAGAATGTGATGTAGCGGCTCCCCGCGCTGAGTGCGTCGGGGAGCCTGGTCATTCTCGGGCCGCCACCTTCCACCTCGGTGGCGGCCCGCCCGCACGAACTGCTCCTCCGCCACCAGGAGCACGAAGTGCTTGAACCCCTGGTGCGCCATCTGGTTGCGTCTGGCGCCCGTGGGGAGGATGATCGGGAGGCCTTCCATGATCGTCTTCTCCGCCCCATTGGTGGCGTGAGGTCGTCGTGCCATCATTTGGTGGCTGGACCTCACGTGATTCCGTGGTCGTCGACGCTTTGGCGGGGTTGAGGCCAGTCCGCCCTGTAGCAGTCGTGTCCCGCTTCTGCCTCATCGAGCTGGTAAGGATCGAGGGGGGCGTAGAACTGCAGTGCCGGACTTCGTCTGCATTGGGCCATGGCGCCTCCCCTGCTGTGATTGCCCCCCACCTGGAATACAGAGCCGCCGCCATGGCGCGGCACATCTGCGGCGGATGCTCCTTGAGCGGTGCCGTCCGCCATCCCCCGCGTCCGTCCCTGCCATATGCGCCGCGATGGGATTTGTTGCTGCACCTGGGCCCCCCTGGGTGTGCCGCCAGCTCTCGTCCCAGTTCTGGCAGGTTCACGGTCAGCAGCTGCGTCGGCTTCTGGGCTTGTTGTCCGAACTGGCACTGGTCCAGGTACAGGATCTCGGCTTGTGGTAGCCCCGCCAGCCATCGGACTTCTGGTTGGTGCCAACGGCTAAGCGCCTGCGGGCACCAAACAGCTGGTGCCGGATGCTCCAAGATCGCAGAGACCTGTAGGGGGAGACCCAGCAAGATCAGGTAGATGGCCGTGCGATACAGCTGGTTCCCGAGTGTCACCTGCTGCATCTCGCTCATGGTGGCCTCCTGTATGCCCCATGGCAGCGCCCATGTGCGCAGGGGACGTGGCGCCCGCCCCTCCAGCGCATGCCACCGCGAGGAGCGCCACGTCTCACAGGGCGGCCCAGCAATCACTGCCAGGACTTTGCCAGGCCTGATGGCCTGCGCCCAGTGCTGGACGGCCGTGGCTTTTGTCAGGTCCCCCCTGTCCTCCCATGTCTGCACGTCAATCGAGAGCACGATGATGCAGTGGTCACGCGCGAAGCCCTCGAAGTAGTGCTGCAGGTCGCCTTCGCGCCTCCAGCCAGAGAATAGGCGCGGTATGTAGAGCGTGCTCGTGACCAAAGGCCTGGTATGCCCGATGGACGTCGCCCCGTCCGCCACATCTTGAGCGTCGTGCTGCGGCTCCAGCTGGATCTCGGGCGGTGCTGGCGCCGGCTCCACATACTCTGCCTCTGCATCCGCAAGTCTCAGAGCAAACACCTGACGTGCTGGCACCAGCGCCTTCTCGGCGGAGTGGCCGGCGGCTTTGCGCTGGGCGATCTCCGCGCGCTCTGCCCCCCTTCGGTCCTCTATCTCGTCGAGGCTCATCGGGGGCTCCAGCATGCACAGGACCTTGAGGCATCTGGGCGCGCGGCGCAAGTGCTTGAGGATCCTGGGCCTGTTGTGGAAGTTGAACTCACAACCAGGGCAGGTTGCGCCTCTGATGTGCCTCTCTGCGTCATCGAAGCCGACGTGCTCCGCTGTGTGGTGCCTGCGCCACGCTCCTTGGTCTTCAGAACCTTGCCGCACTCGTAGCAGATGTACCCGACTGCTGAGACGGCCTGGGGCTGGCTGAAGGTCGGCCGCGGGGGCCTGAACTCAATGCTGAGATCTAGGAGCTGCCTCTGCCATTGTGCGTGCTGGTGTCTGCCTTGCTGCCAAGTGCGATAGCGCTGCCACGCGCGACCCAGCGACGCGCGCGACAAATTCTGCCTCTGCTTCCTGACCCACTGGATGACATGCCCGGGCCCGCCCTGGGGCTTTTCATCGTCAGGCATGTAATTGACTATCCAGTCAATGTCGTCTAGGATCATGGCGTTCCAGGTACCATTGGTGCCCCGTAGTTCGCCGGCCAGCCGCTTGAGGAAACGCGCGTCGGAGTGCCACAAACGTACCAGATAGTGCAGCCTCCGCATCCTGATGTGAATGGCAATAGGCAGCTCCCTGCAGATAGCCAGGACTTCCTCGTCGGTAACGTGCTTGCCCGACTGGCTGTTATGCTGCAGGTAAGTGGATGCACGGAGGCCCTGGATGAAGCACGCATTCAGCTGGTTGGCCTGCAGCTTGGTGAGCGGCAACCATATCTTACTGTCGTAGATCAGCTTGCTGCAACACAACGCATTTCTGTAATGTAATCTAGCCTGCAATGTGACCTCGGGCATCCTGTAGATCACCTTCCGCAGCTGTGCATCCGCAGCTCTGTGTCCGATGATGCGTCTCATGAGGTTCGGCCCCTCCGACGAGTCCGTGGTGATGACGTTGCCGAGGGTTGCGCCCTGTGTGGCCACGACTAGCTCGGCGCCGTTTTGCTCCAAGGTTACAGGGTTGCTGGTGAAGATGCCAGCGTTAGTGGCACGCTTCGCCTTGCCCTCTATCGCCAGCAACGCCGTGGTTTTTAGCGGGTGCAGCTCGTGTCCGAAGATGCTCAAGCGGTCTGAGATGCACTTGACGATCTCGAACAGGTGCTCCTTGGTCCTGTAGTTTGCCCGCAAGACGCACATGTACGAGCCATCGTCCATGAACGAGACCTCGGCCAGGTGGTCGTCCACGTCCTCACCTCTGGGCCGAGTGAGGCGCGCATGGCCCTCCGTAGGTGCAGGCCTCTCGAGCAGAGAGCCTCTCTCCTCCAGGTCCGACTGCAGTGGGCCGAGCGCCTCCGCGAAGCTGATGTTGAAGAGGAGGTCCGCTAGGCCATTGCCCGGCCTGCTGTCCTCGTGGCTGCGCGCGTGCTGATGGCTCCCTCTCACCTGGAAGAAGGTCACTCGATGCGCCTCTGCAAGTTGATGCCTCAGGCTCTCGTTCGTTCCATGGCGAATGAGATAACCCGGGCTGTTTACTGGGAATTCAATGGAGGGACGCCACCAGGCTGGTGGCTCCAGGCCGT